CACACCGAGGCAGGGTGATTTGCTGTGGCGTAAAAGGAGAAGAGGCTGTCTCGAGTGGGAAAGCAGCCTTTCCCCAGAGGCGCCCGAAATCGGACCCCGCTCAGGCTGGCGTCACGGGATTAAAGGTGAAACCTCCTGGCCGTACAGTCTGTTAGCGATGGGGGCTCGCCGGGGATTTGACGAAATCGCCCCCTCGTCGCAGCGGGACGGGGAGTCCTGGCAAAGCCAAACTCCGTCGGACCAGTCGCGGTCCGTGGTCCCCTGCACCTTTCGTTTCCCATCAGATGCCTTGTTTTTGGAGCAACGTGTCTTGGGGATCGGCATTTCAAGGGGCTCCTGGGTCCCACACGCTGGGGTGAGCGAGGCGAAGCAAAAGCCCCTCCACCCACACAGAGCATTAACTCCATCGGTCAGAAAAGACCCCCAGGCGTGCCCGCTCTGTGCCTGTCCCCCTCCTGTCTCTTGCTGCGGGGGGCTGGCACGTGTCAGAAATAGCCCTTCACTGTCACTGGCGTGCCCTGAAAATAGTCCTTGAGCTAGGCTTGGCTTAACCCTCCCCAGCCCCTCCTGGTCAAAATTAGCCTTGCAGAGTGTGTGTGACCTCTTTGGGGGCCCGCTTGCCATGTGCCTTGGCTGCTTGGGACTTGGGGGGGGGGGGAGGGGGGGGTGTTGCAGTGACGTCAGGCTCAGCCTGGGACCTGGCAGGGGAGTCTCCCATGGGAATGGTTGCCAAAAGATCCAGATCTTGAGCTTACCTGGCATTTTGTACAGTGTGTGTGCGGGGAGCTGTGTGCCGACCTGGAGGTCTGCTGACCCCCCACCTGCTCTGCCACCCAGAGTCACGGTCGCTCGCTGAGCTCAAAGCCTGTTCTCACCCGCTGGGCGTGATGCTCCTGGACCATGGCCGTCGGTGCAGCCCGAGAGACGGGGGCTGTTGGGGCAGAAGGGAGCCTGCCCGTGGGGAAACGTGGAGATGGGCTGGTCGGGAAATGATTTAAATGGACAGGCCGTGAGCTGGGTGGAGAGAACCAAAGCAGCACTTCAGTAGGGGTAGCGGGGACAAAACCTGAAGAGCTTTTGAGATGGAGCTTGCTGGGTGTATGGGCAGGACTGTGTGTCATGGGTTGAGGTGGTGCCTTCCTGGTCCATGCTCTCTGCAGGTGGCTGGGCTGGTGGGGGTGACCTGCGCCCCCGGGAGATGCTGGGGGGGCTGCCTGGAGCCAGCAGAGACCACGCTCCCGCCTGGAAGGTGCGGTCCCAGCACAGCGTCCACCGGCGGGCAGTGTTCATGTCTCGTCTTCCCCCTTCTCTTCCAGGTCTCAAAACTGGAGGTGGCTCTTCAGGTGGCTCAGGGAACACTTTCCACTACACCTTCCACGGAGACCCCCATGCCACCTTCGCGTCCTTCTTCGGAGGCTCCAACCCTTTCGACATCTTCTTCGCTAGCAGCCGCTCCCGGGTGTTCAATGGCTTTGACCAGGAAGACATGGATATCGATGACGATGATGACCCTTTCAGTGCCTTTGGCCGGTTTGGCTTCAACGGCATTAACGGGGTTCACCGGCGGCACCAAGAGTCCCTGCACACGCGGAGGAAGGTCCAAGACCCACCCGTCATCCATGAGCTCAAGGTGTCCCTGGAAGAGATCTACCACGGCTCCACCAAGAGGATGAAGATCACCCGCAGAAGGCTCAACGCTGATGGCCGGACCATGCGGACTGAGGACAAGATCCTAAACATCGTCATCAAACGGGGTTGGAAGGAGGGAACCAAAATCACATTCCCCAAAGAAGGGGATGCCACCCCGGACAACATCCCTGCTGACATCGTCTTCATCCTCAAGGACAAGCCTCACTCGCACTTCAAGAGGGACGGGACGAACGTGGTCTACACGGCAAACATCAGTCTTAAAGAGGTGGGTATGGGTGGGAAATCCCACGGGGTGGGAGGTGGCGCTGGGTCGTTGGCGGGTGGGGTCAAGACGGGAGTCAGTCCTTGTCCTGCGCCGATGGGGAAGGACCAGGTAGGTTACGAGAGACACTAGCAAAGACCTCTGCAGAGAGGAGCACAGAGGCCAAATCGTGCTTGGTTTTGGAGGTGCTCAACCTCCGTGCTGGGTGTAGGACACAGGTGCTGCGGTCCCTGCTGAACGCGCCTTGCTTCTTGATCCAATACAGGTGGTATTTACCCATTTTCTGCCTTCCCCATAGGTCTTGTCCTTCTGTTTTAGCGCAGGGTATTCACACATGGAAGAGAGCCCAGGTCCTCCATAGGAACAAGGGAAAACCCCAGTTTGCTGGCATGAGTCTGGTCCCTACTCATTCTCGTAGCCGAGCCTGCTGTGGCTTAGGCACCGCCCGGGGTAGCGCCGGGTGCCTCTCCCCACGGACGGAGAGCAGGGTCACGCGCTGGTACCTTGCCCTTGCTGAGCAAGGCTTTAGCTGTTTTCCTTGGTCCTGGCTTTCCTAGATAAAGAACCAAGCAGAGGAAATTCTCGGGCAGTGAGCAAAACCCAGCGCATCCAGGCTGCCAGTCCTGGAGGTCACGGCGGGGCTGGAAGCATCAGAGCCAGCAAGCTGCGCGAAGGTGGGAGAGGAAAGGGAGATTACCCCAGTACAAGATGTGCCGTTCGCCGCCGCTGCTGTATAACTACCTTTTAATAAATCCCAGCTGGCAGCTGCATTTAACATTGACGTTTTTGGCAGCTGCCATTTGATGTTCCTTTCAGACTGTAGACGCTGTCTGTCTTCTTAATGAGCTGATTTTTTTTTTTTTCCTAAGACAGATTTATGTTCTCAAATGCATTTAATAGAAATAAGCTCAACGGGCCAGACCTGAGGTAGGGAAACGTCAGCTCGTTAGTGTGCCAGCCGGTCGGGAGAGCTTTGCGATGGCTCTGCGTCCCAGCTGGGGCTGTGACCAGGTGTGCTGGGGGCAAGGAGCAGCCACGTGGGTCAGACGGAGCTCGGTGCTCCTGGAGCAAACTCAGCTCAAGTTAAGCTGCAGACTCAGGAGTTGAATTTCCTTCGCAGTGCAAAGTGAGGAGGTTTATTCCTGCGGTGGTTGGCTCCGCCAGCCGCTCCAGAAATACTCGGGGGGAGAGGCTGCCTTATTTATGGAGCCGTGCGTGCCATATCTCAGATGTTTCCTTCTGTGCATTCCCCTATCCGTAAAATTAACCCCCAGCTGGCTGTGCTGATGTCCAGCCCACGTTAGCCCAAGTTCATGCGCTGCTCAGGCTGGAGGGACCCTGGCCTGGAGTTGCCCGTTGAGCGGCAAGCGGAGAAACCTGCTCCGGCCCCACGTGCTGTTGCACCAGAAGTGCTGGTGCTGGGTGCCTGCGATCTCCATGAGCAAGGCGCGTGTGCTGGCGTTTGGTTTGCACAATGCGGTCGCAAAGTGGAAAATTGCTGGTTCGGGCAAATTCCTCGTCTCTTTGAGCTGGAATTTCTGGTCCCTGTCCTCCCCCACCGCAAACCCAGCGTGCTGGGCATCCTCGGGGAGCTGCCGGCCTGGCTGCCATCCCCAGCCTGCTGCTTGCCAGGGCAGGGTGATACTTTTATCTTCCGTGAGAAGAAGTACTTTAAGTGCTCTGGAGCACGAGCAGATGCCGGGAGCTCCCTGACTCCATGTGCCACCACCTCAGTATGTGACGGAGCGCAACCTCTTCGTCACCTGAGCATACAGTGGTAGCCTTGGGTGCTCTCCTTGCACCCTTCCTCCTTGCGAGGCTGCCTTTTTTAGCCTGAGCTTTAGTCTTTTCCGCTGCCACGAGAGCAGCACAGCACAGTGCCACAGCAGGCAGAGCTGGCAGGCGGCGGGTGCCCTGCCGGAGACCCCTCGCCAGCACCCTGCTGCCACGGGGAGCAAGGCACCCGCTGCTCGGGCTGGGGGCACTCGGAAGAGCATCCTCCTCCTCCTCCTCCATCCCACAGACCCCTCTGGAGAGCAACCCGGGGAGGCAATGCCCTCCCAGCCCTCGTGTCCCGGCCCTGCTGGGTGCGGCGTCCCCCCCCAGCTGGGGCGGTGCGCAGCGTTTGCCGCCCGGCTGCTGCGGAAGCCGGAGGTGTACGAGGGCTTCCCCAGGGACCCGTGGGCTGCGGGGAAGTGTCCCTTCCTAAAATTACAGGCGCGCATCGCAGTGGGAGGCCGAGGGAGGGAGGAGTGACAGCGTTCCGCCAGCAGCTGCCTCTCCTGGGAGGCAGACCTTCAGGCAGCGCTGCTGGCAGGGGCTCGCACCAACGCCTGTCCTCGGCAGCCGCCCGCTTCGCGCCCTTTACCTGGCGTCACCTTCCTCGAAGCACCCGCGTGTCAGCGCCCGGCCGAGACGCGAGCGGTGGCGACGTACCCCCCGGCGGCTTCGCTGCGAGCGGTGGAGGACCCAGCGCTGACCGAGATAGAGCTCTGCTCTCGCAGCACAGCGCTCGGCTGTCAAACCCGGGGTGATTTCATCCCTAGGGATAAACCAAGCCTCTTTCTAGGATGCGGGGCAGCTCCTGCCGTTACTGGTGTTACTTCAGCAACCGGTTTCCCAGATGCCAGTGAAGTTGAGCAAGAAGAATGAAAAACAGGGACATATGGCGGAGGAGCGATCGCCTCGGATTCTTGCATCTTGGCTCTAGGAAGGAAACATTAAGATCCCGTCTGCCTTCGCTGTTACCGCCTGCTCCTGCTGGCATCCCTCTGCTTACCCCGTCCACGTGCTCCTGTAGGGAGTTCCCATTCTCCTTCCCGTTTTGCGGCTGGAGATGTCCCTTCCCTGGCACACATGGACCTGGCGCATGGCAGTGGGCTCCAGCATCCTTGGGCGAGCGCAGGGCAGAAACGCACTGATGGGGGGAGATCGTCCTTTGGTTCCCCCCCAACCTGCTGGAGATCCAGCCAAGCACCCGCTGCTCGCACGGAGCTGGCGATGGATGTCCTCCTGCAGCCAGAAAAGCTCATCCCTGGAGGACACCCTTCCCAGGAGGAGACCCCGCACAGATGAGCTGTGCAAGGGGGTGGCCCCATCTCCTGCTCTCCGCTCACCGGAGCACCCCAGCCGGCTCCGGCACGGGTCCCTCCGCGATCGCCCTGGTGCAAAGCCCTGGCTCGGCCACTGAAGCCGCAGCCATCGGCCCCGAGCCAGTGGCCAGCACGAGAAGAAGAGATGTTTCTCCTGTTTGCCTGTTGCTGCTCTGCCACCGGAGGCTTTTCCTGGGTGTGCAGAAAATCCCCCCTTCTACCCCAGAAACAGCAACTGCATCCTCCTCCCCTCCCTTTGCAGGGTGTTTTGGGAGGGCTGGCACTCCCAGGCCCTGGCTCGGAGGGGCTAACCTGAGCCAGCCCCCTGCCTGGAAGCTCGAGGCTGTACCCCCAGCAACCCCCCCCCCCCTTCCAGAAGCATCGCTCCGCAGTCCTCTCCCTCAGCCCTTGCCGAAAGCCTGGAGACGATCCTGCCCACGTGTACGCCAGAGCTGTCTGAGTTATTTAAGGACAGAAGGATTTTCTTGCTGCATTCCCGCGTCACGTGGCTGGCTAATGCAGGCCGGCCTGC